TATTTCTCTTACCACAGTATTGCAGTGTTTTTACTTCTTTTTCTAAGAAGAAAAAATACAAGAATAACTACTGTGATAATACTGAGGACATACCCAAACGACTGTCTCATTCACTGTTTATTATTGTCTGCTTTTCCCCTGGCTATTAAACATGAAGCTTTGTTCCCAGTGTGTTCCCGCTGAGGATTCCCTGTACAATTTGTATCTTATGGTGCATAAATATAAATAAAAATCAGTTGCAGAAAGCTTGAGCTGCAACATTCCAGTAGAGTCTATGGGAAGTGGATTGATTATCCACTGATCATCATTAGTGACTATAGCAATACTTCCTTGTCACTGTGCTAAATGGGTAGTATTTTTGTCAAAAAGGTACCGTGCAGAAATGTACTTGCCTTGCCATACAAATTTAAAAAAAACAGGTTTTGATGGGATCCCACACAGGGATGGGTCAATGAAAAGACCAACATCATCTATGGAAGGGGGTCGTGTTAACGGGCAGCCTAATTGGTTTTGAAAATTTTCATGAAGTAACTTCTAAGCACTGACAGCCTGTGCTTAACAAGGCTGCTTCAAAATCGCTAAGCCCAGTGAGGGTCCTCGTGCTGCTTTCAACCCTGTAATTGAAACAGAATTTTTAACTGAGGCAAGAAGCACCAGTATTTGTTTCACAGAAACTCTGTGTTGGATGAACACAGTCCTTACACCAGCGTTTCCCGAACAACGTATTTATTGCAGCACTTACTTACACCACCGTTTCCCGAACAACGTATTTATTGCAGAAAGCCTGTTTCTGTGTGGGTTCCTACCCTGAGCCCGACGCGGCAGGACCCCGTGTCCTTGCAGGGCGATGGGGGCAGTGCCCAAGCACGGGCAGCTGCCCCACATCTCCCACGGGGAGGGATCACCACTAAAAGCGCAGTGATTTGATCAACCCTAAGTGCACGCGGCTGTTGTGCGCCTGTCTGGTGCGGGGCCGGCTCTGCGAGCGCTGCCATGGGGCTGTTGCACAGCCAGAAGGGGGAAAGAAACACATGTGGCTTCCCCCTTTATTTCCCATTCCGAAACTTTTGGTGGGTGATTTAAATCCTGCTCAAAGTGGATGGATAGTAATGATGTTTCCAAGTCATTTATTTACACAGGGCTTTTGGGGATGTTAACCTACATTTTGAGCACAACTTCAATCTGAGGAGCTGATCCCCTAACCCGAACACAGGAGGCTCTTGGACACGCACACACACTGGAGCAGGGACTCGCCAAAGACTGAAGCTGGGACTAGGAATTACAGAGTTTTAGAATAAAGGAGAACTTTTTTTTGTATGAAATGAAACACTTAAAAGTTATTTTTATTGAGAAGAAAATCCTCACATGTCTGAAAGTCAGTGGAAAAAATAATTTATTGCAACTTCTTTTTCACATTAACACGAAACATTTATACATATATATTTGTGCTGATAAGATATAATAGATATAGACTTTTTTACATAAAAGTAATTGCACTGCCCTATTTTATAATGCAAATACTCAGAAAACATCAGATAAGAATGGATATTATTTGCACAAAAATGCTCTGTACATTGGAGCTATGGAAGGTCTGTGTATGTGAAACCTTGACAGCTTTCACCAACCGTATGAGCTGGTCAAATAAAAGATACTAGGTCTCTTTGCAGGCCCTGTATCTCTTAGTTATGAGCTGATGTCTAGAATATTACCATATCCTTCCAAGGAATGAAGTAAGATCCGTTCTGAAAGTTAGGGAGAGCAAAACCAAAAGGCAAGCATGACAACCCTGCCCCAGAGGGTGCCTGTCAATTCTGGGGTGCCAACAGGGAGGAATCAAAGCATTACAGGTGGTGTAAAACTGTCCAGCAATCTATTGTTAACAAGGCTACTTAACTTAGTAAATATAAATCCATGACAAATACATTGCAAGTGAACAGCATTTCAGTAAAAATACATTGGCACATGCTTCAAATGGTAATATCAGACAAAAATCTGCCTCCTTGTAGCATAGAAGATGCATACACAGTGTCTACAAAGGGAAAATGCAGGGCGACCTCAAAAGAGGCACCTCGTTCTGACCAGGAGTTAACACAGTGCATCAAGTGTTACCACAGGATGAATGTAAAGCAGGAGGAAAGCAGAACTAAACCTGAAGGACAACGTTTATACAATAGTTATCATTATGATGCTTTATGTGTTGTTAATGAAAGCGTGAAGTGTGTTGGGTTCCTCGTTCTTCCCAACAACTGCAATGCTCGTCCTTGCCGAAGTGTCACTGATTCACACAACCCCCATGAGCACTGCAGAAACGAGGGTGAGGAGCACGTCCGTGAAGCACCAGCTGCAATGGCAGGCATGCTCCAAAATGGTACTTGGTATCATCTCGTGGTAGGACGGGCCGCACGACTGACACACAGACACAGATAAAATAAAAGCCCAAGATACAGGCTCACCACAAGGATATAACAACACTACACACTAAGGCTAGAAAAAAGAGACAAAGGTCAAAAAAGAAAAGAGAGAATCAGCATGAGGCCCTAGAACAAAATGGTGAATGTGATTTCAAGGCTGGGAACAAGACGACGATATCGCACGTGGAATGGGAGACAGGCAGTGAAGCAGCAAGGAGCGCCCACGGGCACCGTGTGCCGAGCCGCTCTCGGAGGCAGCGGCGCGTCCTGCTCAGCATCCTCGTCCTCCGCCCTCCTCACACGGCATCCTGCTCTGCTTCCTTGGATGCATGCAAGCAAAACCCAAAAGTGAGGGGATTCCTCTGAAGTAACAACATGGTGGCTCAATGCAGTGACCAAACAGATATAGCAATATGCATCTACTATCAGTAAATAATAATAAAATACATCATTGTTAGCATACACGTTCCTTTTGTATGTAGTCTTATGTAGAAATGTCTCAACTCTCATGTATTCCTTAAAGAAGAGAATAAGTATCTAAAAATAGAACCAAGACTAAATTTTTGTGTAAAGCAAAGTGATCACTGTAAGGTAATCAAATGCAAAAACTTGATTACCTGAGTTTTGCTTCTGGATTAAAACTGTTAGTATAGCCTTTGCAGTGCCAGAAACAAACCTGGAAACAGTTTAGATAATCTTAGAGTAAAGCTGAGTGCAACTTCTCGTGCACGGACAGATGAAACTGTGCAGGGAGTGAAAGAGAGTGAAAGAGAATGAGGCGTTCTTTAAAGAATTATCTTCTCTCAGCTTGCAAAATCACCTCTGACAAGACGATCATCTGCCTCATTACCAAATAAATGCATCCTAGTCTCTTCTTGAAATACTACAATATAAAGTAGGTAACTGGGAGATGGGAGAAATCCTTCCATGTATGAGAATTGTATGTATATCTGAATTTAGGAATTAACAAGAAATAACAGAAATAGATTACATCAAGCAAATTGAGAGTCTGCTTTGAGATTTTGAGTGCGACTGAACTATGATTTTTAAATGCTGCCAAAAACCAGGCTGGTTGTCCTTTCTGCTGTGCTTCCTCCTGCCTCGATGGTCCCCTGTGCAAGGCCAGGTTATTAAGCAGCAGCACTGCCAAGGACCCGTCCTGGCTGCTGTGGGATTAACAAACAAACAACTCTACAAGATCTCTAGAACACGATGGCTACACTTAAAATATTAAACTATCCTAAACATAATTTCATATTAAGCAGGTGTGTGGAGAAAGGAAAATACCCACCAGACTAAGTGTCTGAAGTTTTACATTTAAAATTACAATGTGTCCTGGTATAAATCACAGAACATAACCCATAATGCAGAAAAAGGTCAAAGGTGTCTCACTGAAATATGGCTTAAATATAACTACATTTAAAATAATGGCAGCCATGTGAAATCATAGTTAATCTCACAGTTGATACCAAAGAACTTAGAAATTACAATGAAAAATGGCACCCAGAATATTATGACAAATAATATATACTGAAATATAGAATTCAGCTGAGTTAAAGTACAGACTCAGCCCTGAAGTTCAATACTGGGGGTTAATATTGTGGGTTATCATTAAAAAGTCAGTATTCATACACTTGGGTACCAGTGGTAATAAACAGTGGTTTAACAGCTTCAATTTAATTTTCAGAAGCATGTAAGAATTTCAAAGCACAAAAAACTTCTTGTGACTTAAAAGAATTATCAAGCATTACTTGAGCCATGGTGAGTTATACTGGATTATAATATTTTGATCTAGTGTATTTTTAAATTAAAAAAAAAAAACTATCTAGGCTTCTTTCTTTTCATATAAATTCAGGATAAAATTTAAGCTATGTGAGTTACTTCTACTCTTTCCTACTTGTCTGCAATAGGTGCAATTGTATGCAGGAGCTTAAATCACCCGGTACATAGTAACCAGGTTACATGTCTAAATTGGTAGTGCGCTTGGAGTGTAAATCTCATTGATTTCTGTTAAGATTTAGGTTACTGTGTGTCCAAACTTCTGAAACTGAGGTACAAACTCCTTTGCCCTTGAAAATACTTTACCCTACATCTTTTTGAGAAGAGGATTTAGGTTCATATGTCATTTAGAAGACATTTTTTCACCTTGTATATTTTTAAATTAGGACCTCTATCACCCAGCAATTTCTGAGCAGGAATATCCCTTTGGGGATAACAAGCCACACACATCAGGAGGGAACCCGGCTGCAGGCAGTTGCTGGAGTTTTGCCTAAATATTGGAAGGTACATTTATTCTCACTGCAAGAAAGCAAATGGTAATTTTTTCAAGAGGTAATAACCAGACATGTCAGCTAAACAGAAAGGGACATTATACAGCAAAATCTAGTACAGTGGAGAAATCTGTAAGAAGATAGAGGCATAAATATTTAAACACGTTGCATTCCCTCAAGGACTTTTTAAAATACAAAAAGTATTCTTTCAGAGACTCTACACACTCCGGAAACAAATAATCAAGGGCTGCTGTAAAGACAGCAAATGCCTTAACTAAAAAATGGTGTACAAAACGGCTCACTTCCAATGAACATTTAGTTTTGCAAAGGCAAAAGGATCTCAGTGGTTTAGATTAAATTTGTGGTATTTACGTCTTTATTAAAAAAAAAACCCAAGTGATTAGTCATACCTCCGTCTCTGTACTCTTTCTGGACAAAAACCAAACCTGCATTGGTTCTTTTTTACCCTTCATAGAGACTGGACCCCTGTACTCCAGGTGGAACTGAGGATCTGAATTTTCCGGAGTCATAAGACACCTGAAATAGAAAGAGAAAACATGTAAATTTATTTATTACGCATGCATGCACTGTACAAAATATTAAACATACAGCAGATGCACACCATAATGCACTCTGCCATCCTATTTCATAAGAACTCCTCTATTTAAGCAATGTGCTGATGAGGTCCTGTCACTGTCGCCTCTAAGGACACTTTGACATTACACTGACAAAGTGGTTTCTTTTAAAATGTCAAAGTCAATAAATCACTCACCTGTAAGTGAACTCAGAGACATTGATCTTTCCCTTTTCTCCAGTAGTTTCTGTTCTGCTTGTTAGATTGACAGTATTTCCAAAGAGACAGTAACGTGGCATCCTTTGGCCTATGACACCCGTGACTACCTCGCCAGTGTGGATTCCTATCGTTATCTTTGGAGAGAAAAATAAAGGTTGAATAATCAAAAATCAACATAACTAATTTGATTTTTCTGCCTAAATACAGGTATTATGGAACTTTTATCCAGTATTTTAATTAAAGTGCACCAGTCCTGCTTCTTCAAAGACTTTGGTTTGTATTTTTCTGTTATGTTCTTTTTTATGTGGTGTCACAGCCCTGACTCTTACATGAAACAACAACTCCCATACGTTTATACCCCTGACATGCACTATGACATGCTGCTATTGCATATTCAGAAAGAAAAAAAAGTGGAAAGAGTAGCAAACTCTGTAGGTCTGTGTTTAATGAGTGCTGAGAAGGTGCAGAAATGAGTGGTGTAGGTCAAGAAAAAGGCATCACGGTATCTTGCTCATGAAAGCTCAGTGCATCCATCGTTTGTATGCATCTAAGATGGATAGGATCAGGACAGGGGTTTTGGGAAGTTCATTCTTGCAGTGCATCACAATTACTGCAAAGCTCACTGGCAGTGCTAGGAAGATCAATGTCATTCATGTATACAGAGATATGCACCATAAATGTTACTTATTTTGTCCTCAGTGTCTTCCAAGGAGGACAGGTTAATGCAGGCTCCCTGATTCTGCATTAATTCCACAATATCTTCATAAAATACCACAGTGAATGTACTTCCACTGAGGTACATCGCTGCCACTACTCATCACCATAAATTCTTATGGAGCTGTTCTTTTTTTAATAAAGTATTTTCACATGCTGACTTGAGGATTAAAATGTCAAAGAGGGAATATTATTGTTCTGTTTACTGAAATGAAGGAGACTCAACTAATAAACAGTATTTGATGCACAGGGGGATTTTTTGCAGAAATGATTAGAAAACAAACACGTGTGATGTGGTCCAAGTTCAGTCCTTTAAAAGGTTAGGCGCAATAATAAGCTCTTAAGGTCTGGAAGACTGCGTGTGACTTTTCATATTATTTCTACAGATCTGCCTAAATCTAGCCAGAAGAAAGCTTGCACACACTGGGACTTTAGCATTACCATATTTCAAAGCACCCTCATTGTAGCAAAGAATGAGTTCTTCGTTCAAACTCACACATTTACTAACCTGTACAGGTTCACCATCTACTTGAACCTGGCCTGCTATTTCCATCATATCCAATGCCAGGTGGCAGATAGATCGTGCGTGATGAATGCAAGGCTCTGGTAGGCCACTCACTGTCATATACTTGTCCCCAACTGTTTCCACCTATCAAGACACACATTTTTTCCATTATTTTATTAACGTGTGCTAGAATGGGTATACTGCTACCTTCAAGACTGCTGGCCCTTTCAAATAGTTTCCCTTCATTTCAAGCACCCAATTCCCCCATCTCTGTTCATTACTGAAAAGAATTCAATGTTTACCAAGAACATAACCAATTAAAATGACTAAGACTAACTGAACTCTTTTGGGGTCTTTCAGTTTCTGTAGATACTAAGCTCTATTTTTTGTCTTGTTAACTCACATGCTTAATTCACTTGGTTCAGGATATGAACCTGATTCCTAGTAAAAGCTAGGAATCAATTTTACACCCAGAAACACACATGCATATTCATGTACATACATACGGGATACAGCTTTAGCTTTGCTATCAGACATATTTGCAAGTACTCTTCATTCCTAGTGAAGGAATGAAATTCACTTTGGAGTAAGTGACTAATAACTTATAATCTAAAACCAAGAGAGTATATGGCTGAAAAACCTAAAGCTCAAGGTGAGCAGAACTACAAAAAGCTTCCAAAGGGATTTAGAACCTGCTAAATGTGCATATACATTTATGTATCCCTCTAGTAGGGGCCTGCATGGAGTTCTGGTTGAGAACCAAACCCTTTATGTTTCCTCACACATTTAGAGATAAACAATATAGTCATTTTAGACATATATCAGGTAACATAGTGCAAACATTTCCTATCTCATAGCACAAAAAATTAAGAACAGAGCTTTCAAGGTATCAATCATTGTAGGATTTGTGATTAAAAAAAGGATGTTATTCCTGGCTCTGAAAATGAACTGAAGTTACATAACACTTTAGATTTTACAATTTTAGAATATCCTTCTCCTTAAAAAGAAAATGCTGATCAACATGTTATGTTGTTAAAACATTACTCCCAACATTAATGTAGGCTTTTATCATCAAAGTCTGGGAATGTAGTAAGATTTTCTGGGTTTTTTTTTTTTTTGAGCACAAAGCTCAATGGGTGGAATACATTGAAATCCTAGGAAATTATTGAAAAGTCACAGATTAAATTATTTGAAAATCTTCTGGTTACCTTATAAACAAATGGATTCCTCCGTGAATCGGTGAGAATATCGAATCTTGTGTAGAGGTCATTGAGGAGGTTGACAATCTTCATGGCCCCCTCGCCGGAGGCGTGCTTGCTGCAGAAGGTGTTGAACCCAACGATGCCGCTGAACAGAATGGTCACGTTGTCGTAGCGCTTCGCCGGAACCGGCCGCTTGTGCCTCAGCTCATTCGCCACTGATGGTGGTAGAACAGAGTACAGCAATCTAGATATTAAGGAAGAAAAAGGGGATAAGCAAAGCGAAAAGCAAGTGGAGAAAGGTCTTTACATGAAAAATTTTAAATATTGTGTTAATAACTGCTATAGGGTTTATAGTATACTAGCATCATTCAAGAGTTAGTGGCATAAAAGTGGTTCTACTGAAGTATTTGCTATTTGGGAAACAAGAAATGAGCTACATCAGGATGTCTAAAATCCATGACATTTCAAAGATATTCATACACCTAACTTACCAACTAAATAAACATATATTATTAATTCTTTTGACACGAGCCATTAATAGTGCCTCACACTGGTTTTGCTTTAGCATTTCTGTCACATCCTCAATTAATGGTTTTGCTCATAGAACCATAAAAGCTGCTAAAAAAGAACTTGAAGAGAGTGCACAGTTCTCCACCTCTGACCCACTCCCGAATTGCTAAATGTTTCTTCTTCTGTTGAGAATGTTACTCTTGGGGTTTAATGCTTTTTTTCCCATTACATTACCAGCCATTAATACTTGCAAATAAAATGCTAATCACGCACGCGGAGCTGCGCCCTACTCCCAGATGGATTCTGACAGCTCTTTATCTGCAGCCTTATGGCAGGTTTTCCCTTCTTCTACATCCGAATAGTCGAGATGAAGATCTCCAAACGCTTCACAAGTTCTGAGCAGTGTGTGGGTGGCCTCCTGCACAAGCTCTGCTGAGTTGCCTTAATTATTATTATTATTATTTTTATTAAGTTCACTACTGCATCAGTTATAAATATTGAATACTTTTGTCATATAATAGCTGCCAAATAGCTTAAAATTTCTGAAGATAAATTGGCTTTATAGGGTAAGTCAACAGGAATGAATAGAAAGAATTTTTAGGCTTCTTTGCTCTCCAAATTCCTCATCTATTCCTTTGAAGTCTTGAACCATTACAGCAGTTTTCATTATTCCACTTAAAATTAAAAAAAAATAGGTTTAATAGCAAACAAATGTTAATTTTACTACTAAGCAAGCATAAGTCACAAGAAATCCTGCAATTACAAAAATGGGAACTGTTTTGAACATGAAAGTTGACCATCAAAATCCATGCTCATCACAAATGTTTATTTAAGGGCTCACCAATAGGACTTGTTCTGAGCTCTATTTTTAGATAACTAATTAACAACTAATTCATCATATGCATTATGCCAAGATCTGCTTTTACAGAAAACTGTAAAATATATTTTCATAGGGAGCTATAAAATCACATTCACAGCACTGGTCTATGGCAAAACTTATACTACTTTTGCAGGTTATAAAACTACACTAAACTCTGACTATTCTTTCTGCTGTTTTTACATTTAAAAAAAAAATCCATAAAATTACATGTGATTTTTTCATCAGTTCACCTCCTCCTGTCCAGCTCCCTTCAGTCTGTCTTTGGGAGCTGAAGGGCCCAGTGCAAATTATAAAACAATTTCAGCAGCATCATCACTTGTACGTTAGTCCTGGCTACTGACCTTGAAAACAATGTTTTTCTGTTTTGTTAACTTGTGCTGATACTGCTCCGGAAAGAAAGAGTAAGTAGTCTGTAGGTGGTTTACAAAACACTGCCAAATACTAACATTCACACAATCATTAAATTAATCTGGATACGGAAATGGCATATAAGCAAAAACGTTGAAAAACTACTGCTTTTGGACATTTGTGAAACAAAAAAATGATTCTCAGTTCACTTCCCTTCAAAGTTCCCTTCCTTATGAAGGAAGGAGTCATCAAAACACCTGTGCATGTAACAGACTGCAGATGCCATCTGACAATCTAGCTTAAAAACAACACTATAAGGAAAGAAAAAAGGCCTTTCTTGACTCTAAAATTATTGGCCCTGAATATGTTGTACAGTTTTTCCAGAATTTTTCTTTTTTTTGGAGGACAACTCATCTATAAATAATTCAAATAATTGCTTCTTACGTGTCTGTCTTTTTCTTCTCATCCTCCAGTGCCCGTAACGTGTGCTGCAGCCTGTCAGTGAGGATCTCGAGCTCTTGAGTCAGCTTATACTCCTCTCTGAACTGCTCTCCCAAAAGCACCAGGTCGCGGGTGGCATCGTGCAGTGGAATGTCACTCAGGTACAACCCTCTTCGGGTTAGATCGTCCAGGTTCATCACACTGCAACGTGGAGCAACCTATTACAGCATGTACAGAGCCTGGCTACCACTGAACTTACCTAACGTTGAAAATTGGGATCAACAGCAGAAGCTGGGCCTAACTATTAAAAGATGATGCTTCTAATCATCGGAAATGTTGTACAACAAATCAAAATATGAAATATTTTATTTGTGTTCATCTGTGCCAATACATGGCTCTTGATTTGCACGTTTGAATATAGAATTCTCACTGTTTTTATGAATTTTATAAACTCATGAGACACACAGTCCTCAGTATTCAAATGAAAGCAAGACGATGTTAAGGCACTCCCTCCCATTTCTTTCTTCTTCCACTCTCTATTGCTTTTTACATAGAAGATTAGTATATTGTGACTGTGTAATCCAGTGTGTTAGTTCAACACGCTGTTAGTTAAAAAATGTCCACAATTCAATGCCCATTTCAGCCCCTTCTTTGTAAGTATCTCTACACCATTACATTGAAACTACTGCAAAAATAATATAATAGGGAACTGCATTGAGTGATAACCTTAGCAGCATTAGATTAAGAGACAAGAGGCAAATTTGTTAAAAATCACTGAATCTTGAGGAACTCTCATTCTTAAAAACTGAGCCAGAGCAGCCCAAAGTTTAATTATTAAATAATTACATGTAAGCTTTGAGCTGCTCTGGCTCAATCTTTAAGAATTATTTAAACATTAGAAATATTTAAACATTAGAACTTGACTAAATATTAAATAATTGCATATCGTCAAGTTCTAATGTTTAAATATTTCTCCTGCTTTTAGTATAAATCCATCAAAGTTGCTTGGATCGGTGTTTGAGACAAATAACTCTGCCTTCCTATCCTTGTAAGCTCCTTCCTATCCTTACCTGCACTAATGGGCAATCACAGTAGTGGCTGCAAAATTGAAGCAATATTAGAGAACTCTCATAGCTCAAAGTACCTTGGTGAACAAAGGAAAAGGATGGAGTCTGCTTCTGGCAAGTATATCATTTGACCTTTCAGGCGCAAGCAGCTGATTTCTGTGCCAGTCAGTTCATCTTCACACTCGAGCTTTTCTACATCCAAGAGCCCTTCCTGGTCATGAAAAAGGCACAGTCACTATATAAGACCAATGGTATGTATATTACTCATCAGGTCATGTATGCAAATGCCTTCACCATAAAGGCAGTCAGAATGTTGGGACAGAGTTGTAAAGCACAGTCTACATTAAAAAAGCAATTAATTTTCATTTCACCACTTATTTTATTGTGACTTGCTACCCCAGGCAGTATCATATCTTTCTTTACCTTCATTTTCACTATTTCCTGTTTTCTTCTGTGTTATTTCCTCACACTTGTTTGACAATAGGATTGCCTGTTCTGTCATGTTCTAGCTGTGCTGGGGAATATCTCTAAAGGAATCTTGTTGGTGTCTCTCAGGTACAGTTTTCTATAAATAGGTGCATTTACACAGTAGGTACTGTTCTACACGCTGCACTGGTTTATACTGCCTGCCTCCTCTCTTGCCCTCTCTAGAAAAAAAGGACACAAAAATGCCCAAGAATGTACAGGCCCAAGCGATGACACATTTCACATTTGTCTCCCGTGTCCTTGTGAAGGATAATGAAGTGCAATTACCCTTCTATGCTTATATGATGACATGGAAGAGGGTGGCCCTTTACGGAGACGACATGAGAAGCGTCCCCACTTCTCCATTCCTACCAAGTGTACCACTCCACAGCTCCACATGCATTCACATCCCTTACATTTTGGGGCTCAAGACCCAAAAGAGACTCAACTTACTCTTGCACAAAGTATTTCCTCTGAAGAGTTCTGACTTTTCAGCACCTACTCTTCTCTCTCCAAAGCCCAGTGATAGAAAAGCTAATGAATACTGCCTAGTTACCTTGGTCCTCAGGACAAAGACGGTATTGATATGCGAGAGGATCCCATGGAAGCTAATGTCAATATGAGGCCGAACCAAGGAGAAAACTGACAACAGGCTGCAATTCCCTGGCTGCAGCTAAAACGTAAGCAACAATAAAACATTAAGATAGTTGGTTCACATATAATAAAAACAATAAAACATGAAGATAGTTGGTTTACATATAATAAAAATAAACAGAACACCTAAATTCAATTTGCTTAGATGACAATAGCAAATAGAAGAGAATATATACTTTACAAATTCACCCATTAAAGCACAAGGTTTTTAAATTAAAGCTCTCACAACAGAAGAACCCTGGCTTCAAAGTGCAATTCTAATCTTCAATATGATATAGAATTGCATTGAACTGTTTCACATTGGTTAGCTGTCAAATAGTTCCAGCTTTACAGTGAAAAGAATAAAAATGTTTGTTAGGACTTTCTTCCCAAACTTGCCTCTCAACAACAAGCCATGTTCTTTTGTGCATCATCTCTGATAATAAGGATTCTGTGGTCATTATTGAAAACTTATAATTATAGCTGTTCAGTGAATGCCACTGGAAAAATTCTTGAAGAGCTACATATAGAGCTCTTCTTTCAAATCCTTCTTCAAAACCCAGAAAGAAAATGTATAGCAAATAAATAAATAATAAATAAAATTACATTTTAAAGAGGAGAGTGCATGAACTGTCCTCAGTCAGAAACATGGCATGGACATGTATCACTCAGCTAGCACTGACACTTGTGATGCACAGGCCAAAAGAGCACACATCCTCTCTGTTATGCTGCAACTGACAGTTATACAATGCTAAAAAGCCTCCAAATATTTGTTATTGTCAAGTAAAGTATATATAGACTAAGTATCTGCTGCGAAAGTGAACAAGTACTATGTGCAAGTCCATCTCCTGACTCCCAAACCAAGCTGCAAAATGTGTCTTATCCACAGTCTAGAGTCATCTGCCGCTTTTATAGCGAATATGTCTTGGAGTGGACAAGTCCCAAAAGACCCAAGCGTCACCTCAGCTGTGTGGGTGATCATGTATTGTCTGCTCAAGCTTATTCCTTGGTCACTTTATGGTCACATTAGGGATGTATTTATAGGGAAAAGGACTGACAAGTTTTCATAATCCTTTTTCAAAAAAAAGCAGCACTATATAGCAAATATGATACAGTTACATAAGAATGTTATTTACATAGAGAATTCTAGAACTATTTAATTAATTTTCAAAATAAACCTGCTTACCACCTAGCACAAGAACCCTTTAGGACTACTCATGTATGAGAATCATCTAACCTGTGGAAGGACTCTGTATATAGCATTACCACACTGCGTGACCACCAGATCTCTGTCGAATATTATGTGGAAAGGAAACGCCTTGCAGAAAGTATAGGGACTGATGCGAGATTCTTGGGTGCCATTTTCTTCAAATCTGTCTAGGTCTTCATAGTAGTCCTCCTCTTTAGACTCTTTCTCTTCAATTAAAAATTGAATGTGGTCACACTCCTCATTTCTCTGTTGAATAACCTAGAAAAAACGAGGGAAAAAGATCAAAGACTGCAATCCCTGCTACTCAGTAATAATTGGAATGTTATGAAAACAGAAGTACACTAGAGCTTAAATTAAAAATGACATTTGCATCTCAAAAATTTCTAGCAAGTATTTCTGATTTTAAATCATCTTTATAATTCCAGTGGAATAATTATGCCTTTGATTAGCCACAGTTGCTCTTTGCAAGAAAAGCGTATTGAAGATGAGTCAAATATGACCCAGAAAGCACGAGATGTGTATCCTAGAACCAAGTGCTCCGGCTCCAGCAGCAGGAATTTCGACCTGCATCCTTACCAAGACCAGGTCCAGGAGTTACAATTAAAAGCAATTATAATAAACTTCCAGCTGCATTCCATAGTGAGTGAAATCACAGCAAAACCACAATCATCTGCATCGCCATATCTCAAATAAATGTTTTGGATATAGCATTTCACTTCAGCATTTCAATCAAAGATATTCAAAATAAAGAAAAAAAAAAGAATAGGGATCATTTTGTTTGCAAAGAGGGTCATGTATTGCAGTATAAGTAAAGCAAATACCTAATAGAATAACATAATTTACCTTAAGAGGCCAAATTCACCTCTTCTCAAGCCTAATTAGATTTAATGACTGGAACAGAACAATTCTATTTATACAGTATTGTTTAAGGGCAATTTTCTGGAACATGTTTCGCCTGATTCTATTTTCACAGAGGCTGATACTAAAGTCACTGAAGCAAAAAAATACCTAACAACAACAAAAACCACAGCAAAAACAAACAAAAATCCAGAAAACAAACCACCCCCCAACTTTTAAGTGTCCAAGGGATCCCGAGTGCCTTTTACACATAGCGTAACCACACGTGTCAACAGCCGCAGCATGAAACCAGAGGCAGGTAGCTGCATACAAACACTAACTCATCTGCTAAAACCTTCAGCTTATTAAGTATTTCCCCTCCGGGACTGTCAGTCAAACGAGCTGATGGGCTGGGGAAACTTGATACCTCTATTTCTTCCCATTTAAATGTAGCTGTGTAGAAGAACAATAATTTATTGCAAAACGATGCTTGATGTGGGGAAGTAGCCCTCCTTGATCTCCTCTTCAACTCCTCCTTTAAGGGAAGGGCAGAGGCTTTCTGGAAAGCCATCTGGAGCAGAAGCCCAGTTCAGGGGCTCTGCACCATGTGCTTGATTCTCTAGTGGATTAGCTAAGCAACATGAAGAAAGACTGACATAAAGCTGCCAGACATGTAGGTACCTAAAGCTAGGCATGCAAACCAGCTCAAATATTAATGATGATGGAGAGTACTTTCCTTAAAAATGTAGTGGTAATTACTTGGCAGTGTGTGGCAAAAGGGAGTGGGAAGTTTTGAGTAGTAAGAGGTAACTCGGGAGGAACATACGGCAATCATTCAATGACAACAAATTATGTGGGTTTGTCTATGAAAATGGAGCATAATAAATGTGAATGCAAGGCTTAAAAGGCCTCCATGTCTTCCTCTTCTTTAGGTCATTATCCTTGCAACTATAACAGACTGTGGCCACAGTGAGGACCCACAGAATGTAGCTTCTCTCATTCATTTGCACAAACCCAAGCGTCATTATTATTATTATTATTACTACTACTATTGTGGCCAAGGACAGCTTAGATTATACACAGTAGCTTTTTCCAAATTCTACACAGTTATCACTAGAACTGAGCTATGCTTCCACATGATTTCCAGAGTCTTCGATCTCATTTCAAAGAGTCACTTTTGCCAGAACTGGAAAAAATACATACAAGGGTGAAAACTTTTTACTCAATCTTGCCAATCTTCCTTTGGCAAAGCAGTCCTAAAATTCCTTTTTACAAATCCAGTACGTTTTAAGGAAATGTCCAAATTAGTAGCACATCACTTCCCAGCAGTGTGACTGGTAAAACCTAAAGGCTCTGCTAGTCCCCCGCTACTATTACTGCACCTGTACTTACACGGTTGCCTGGTACCACGCTGCAACCTTCACCACATCCCATTTTTGTTAGAAATCAATGATGCTCCAACAAGCAAAACTCAAATGTTGGTCAAAAAGAAAAAAAACAACCCAGAACTGTCACATGTTTCAAGAAACGTCTAGCTAGCGCTGAGACGTGACCTTTCCGAGGCACCGCGAGCTTGCACGGTGTTGCAGTCACTCTGTTACATGACATCCTTTTTTCCTAGACGAAAAATGTGCCAGTAACAGCACAAAGCTGTAAGGCTCCCGTGTCAAACGAATTTCATTTGCAACGCTATTTTTGACTAGACTCCAGGGCATCTATAAATGCTTGTTATACTGATGTATCACATTAGTGCAGCAAACGTACAACAGGCCAAACACACGGAAATGTGTCAGATGTACAGGAGAGCCACGGAGCCAGCTGCATGCTTCTGGTAAACACAATACGCTGTCAATACAGCACATTTACTAAATTTGGTTCAGGTCACCCATGCCAAGACCCTTATTAATAGCATCTATAATCATATCTTTCTTCAGGCTAAAAGAGCTACTGATTCATCCTTAAGTAACTCGCTTGTGGCTATGTAATTTCATGATGTCTTTCCTGTTCACATTTTTCATGCACAGCTAATAACCCACCTTACCCCCCCGAGGAGGCTTGCAGCCTCCTCTTTTCTGAGGTATCTGAGATATAGATGAAAATCCATCTTGAAAAATTTGAGATATCTTGCTATCCTTAAAAATAAAAAGCCATCCTAAAAGTGCAGTGAGGTATTTCTCTTCCATAGGATAATGTGAGTTTTCTGCAAATACCATTCTCAGATAGTGTTGTTCAATTATATAGATATCCACAGGGACTAAATTCTAGTCATTTTCCTCATGTTCCTTGAGCTTTTAAATTGTGAGCCAATTTAAAAACAACACTTCTGGCCATTATCATAACATTAAATTCTACTTTCATCATTGTAAATACAGGTTCAACCTAATTAGCCAGATACTAAGTTGGCATAAACACTTTCAAGATTTTATCCAAACTGGTTTGGAGTCAAAATAACTTGCACAGATCTTGACAAATGCAAGTACAGTGACAGCAGTGACCAAGGCAGGAAGCACACCTGATTCTTCTGCCTCCCTCTGTGGTTTTAGCTCATGACTGTCATCAGCTCACCATGCTGAAGAGCATATATAGTATAGTCCATAGTATATATAATTACCACAGTAGCTGCAGTTAGAAAATGAAGACAAATCACTCTTCTGTTTTCAAAAAGAACATACAATATCTAAGCGGTTACCTGCCTGTGCTTCCCATAGGATGCATCTTCAGAGCACTCCCTTGGTTAGCCAAGTGAAAAGCCATCACAATATTCCAGCAAGGGACAATGCAGGCAGCGTCCGGTTCAGAGAGCATTTTAAAATGACTTACTAGATTATTTGATAAACCTCACTCAGGAATTAAATCAAGCAGTATCATTATGTGCCTACATGCGGCAAGCAAAATGAACATATGCCATCTATTAATTTTCCCGATGTACCTGCAACATGAGACGATGCTACACGTTGGTACACTAACATCTAGATGCCCGGAAAGGGACAGGATATCTTTGCACAGGGCTTATTCCCTCACTTTGTGAAGATTAATACAAAATCAGCCATTTAAAGCTCAACACAGGACAATTTTTTTGACCTCTCTAATCAAAACGGACTGTTTAATGCCACTTGACAAGTTCAGAGCTGTCCCAAGGTGGTCCTTAGCCACAGGGCGGCTCAGGCTCCACTGCGGAGATGGAACCGTCTTTATCTTTGCACACCGATGGCTGACGCTGCAGGGCTGCTTCCCAGCGCGGCTGGGCCAAGGCACAGCCCCTCTCACTGCACTGCTCCTCCGGGCCTGGAGCTGGCGAGTTTCCGACTGCTCTGGAGCCACAATTCCAGGCTGATTCTGCTCAGTGCTTGCTTTATCTGCACACACAGCTCTCACGTCAATGTCTGCCTCATACCACTTGCCCTGCACGGTGACCGACTGCCTAAGGAGTTTGTAAGTCATCTCTTCAGCTAGTCACATTCTGGCTTTGTTTTCTCATTGCCATTAGTAATTACAAAAAGCAGAAATTACTACCTTGCCAAAGATTTCCTCTTGCTTTCTTTTGAGATATTGTAAAATCTCTTTTTGATATTGTAAACAATCTTCCCCGCTTGTCTAACAGACAGATTTTTATGGCTTGCTGTCAGATAACAACAGGATTTCAGAAGTGTGTTTTCCCAACAGAGTTTTTTGTTTTATTTTGCTTTTTTTATTTTTATGTATTTTTTTATGTTACACTCTCCCCACCGTCCTTTCCCGTTTGTAGCGTTGACAGTGTCTCCGTGCTGAGCTCCCCGCGCGGCTGCAGTGCCAGGGGGATGAGCAGGACGGCACGGCCAGGAGGCTGCAAACAGACCACGTCACGGCTGGAAAGCAGCTGCGTCTGCAGAGACAGGAGCAACTGCTAGCACAGCCTGAAAAATGGTATGTTCCTACCCCTGTGTAGCTAAAATGGATTAAAATAGCAGGGAAGAGGGGGCAAATTGGATTTGGACTAACTACCTGATTAATTTTGACCTAGGCTTTCCTGAACTATTTAACTGAAACTGAGAATCCAGGTTCATACCAAATTGCTAACACATCTTAGAAACAAATTCAGATTTTTTTCATCCCTTCAGTATATACAAACCCTAGGTCTAAAAAGAAAAAGCACATTTCCCAAAGGTTCTGGAACAAGAACATCCTGCTGTATTTTACAAGAACATGTACATAATGGTTTCTGGGAGAAAATACTTTTGTTTTTTTCCTTTCTTCTATTTAGCTATTTCTCCACCCAAAGAAACAATATGAACCAAAACAAGAACTATATTATTTTTCTTGGTATTTGCTTTTGTCATATGATGATGAGATTCCTTAGGTTCTCTTTTCACCTGAGAGGGCAAACATTAGTAATGTTTGCAAATTCTACTGTTGTAGGATCTCTCAAAAACAAAGTAACTAGGATGGTGGTCCAAATAAACCATGAAAGCAAAATCTAATCACTTAACGAAATAAAAGCTTTACTATTGTAAAAGATCGATTTAGCTCATCTACCACCTTCACAAAGACACCTTAAGGCAAAATTTGATAAAAACACTCAGAAAAATGAAAAGACTTAGAAGCAATCTGTTCTCAAGCAAACTTATGGAAGCATTTGTTCTAATAAACAGCTGGAGAAGAAGAGTGAGTAATAAAGTAATTAAACATCACATTGCACATACTCACTTTAACTAATATAAAGAGAACTACAGAGAGATTTTAGTAAAATGGTCCCATGTAACATAATGGTAAAATCAAAGATAAACTGCTTGAATAAGCAGACCTGCAAGAACATCTAGGAATCTCAGCATTCTTCTTGCAAGTAGGAAGGCAACTCCCATAACGGCACCAGAAACAAGACTCTGATCAGTTCCTAAAACAACCCTTCCTCAAGAAAACGCTAACTACAGTCCATAACAAACTGCACAGAAGAAGAGGCAATAGCTGCAGAAACCTAGGAGATGAAAAGCAAACCCGTTTTTTTTCTATGCTTTGGCATTTCAAACAATGCATTAATAGCAGTGTGAAACATGCAAACACTCATTTGCTAAATTATGGACCCAGGGATTGAGATGAAAGCAAGCTGGCTGCTTTTTTTTCCTGTTCTCGTTTTTCTTAACAGTATAAAATTAGCCACGTACCACAACGGCAGACTTGACCATTTTGCTGAGGTTTTAAAATGTTCACTCTGCAGACATTAATGATTAATAATTGACCTTCAGTGTAATGAAGGGCGACTTTCATTGTCTATGTGGATAAGCTGCAAAGTTTGGCACTCTCACCTTACAGAAACAGAGTAGCTTTTTATTCTCAGCACACTGAACACTGCAGTTATTTAGGTACTATGGAGCAAAGTATGGATTTAATGTCATCATATGTGTTAAAGGTTAGGCTTTATTAGCCAGCAGAGATGAGGAAAAGTTCAGGGTTGAAGGCACATGACTTTCTGATGGTGGTAAGGAAACAATATTCCATTAACACACACATTTGCAGGGTAACTGGCTCAATAAAATAGACACAACATGCACTTTCTACAGTTTAGAAGCACTATCAGTTTTTACGGGTATTTATGCTTTTGACTCAGACTGAAAGAACAGCCCTCTTACAATGGGCTAGACTGATACTGTTAAATTTCTGTTTAATTACAGTCCAACAGTAAGATATCCAGAAAACCCTACTAAAGGTAAATTAAAAGTAATTTTATAATCAATATCTAAACCTCTTTGGAGCATTTATTGTTTGTGAAAAGCACTAGATGAATATTAGCACTGTCCAATACAATCTTCTCCACAAAATAACAGACTATGGTGACTATTTGGCAAAAGTATGCTTTGATAAATGCTTTGAGCCACCCCCATTTCTTGCCTTCCCCCCAGATCACTTCTACCTTTGCAGTAGAAATGTAAGATGACTAGAGAATACTTAAGAGAAAAAAAAAAGCTTGCTCCAGCTGCTTAGACTCCTCTCTACTTGATGAAAAGTATTTGACATTACTTGCAAAATTTCTAACACTATACTTTGATATTGCTCTATGCATTCATATTACCTTTTTTCCTCCAGACCCAAGGCTCACAATGCCTTGGATCATGCTCTGATTTTACATATGCAGAGCCTGTTACAGTGATCAATTAAGTCTTTGTTGCTCCATGTAGACACAAACCAGAGGCCTCATCTGAGTTTCTCATCTGACTTAGCACACATGGCTCTTTGTAAACTGCAACTCAGAACACACAGTAGACAGTAAGAAAATATGTCAAACTTGAAAGGAAGTAGACAAAAAAGTGCTCTAATGGCTCAGTACTTAATTCTCAGTACTTAAGTACATGTCTTCTCTTTCTTTGAAGGAAAGGGTAACCTAAACTGTTCTTGATAGGCCCTATTTGCAAATTAGTGCTGGCCTTCTAAGTACATGGCTGACCTGCCTCTAAAACAAACCAAGTGATGGTGGTTCTTCCTGCACCAATACTTTTCGTTTTTTTACATCAGCCTGTTTTTTTTACAGCAAGCATTGATCATGACTCACGTGAAGGTTGGAGATTAAAGCACAGGACTGTTAAGGAAAGTGAGATGCCATGGTCTGCGGTTGATACAGGAATTCGTTCAAAATCCTGACAGCTAGAGCCCCGTAGAAGGAACAAAGGATACAGCAGCAATGGTAACGATCGTCTGCCACGTTTGTTTTGCTTGAGCTTATCCTAATGATGTAAACTGCCCACGTGTAAGTGCCTTCGTACCTTCATATCTATTTCTGTGCCATGGATCTGCTGAGCTACCGTTTTGATGATTCCAATGACGATATCCTGAAGGCCTTCTCTTTCTGAGTAGTAGTGCAGAATGAGTCCTTTCCCCTTCTCTGCATCGGTGCACCTAAAGGAAGGGGCTCGCATACCCGGGTAGATGGTAGCAAGGTGGTCATGCAGAGCATCCAGGTTCTGGAATAAGAAGGTAAAAGCATGATTATAAGGCATTCACATATCAGTTTTAAAGAAAGTAAGTGCAAGCCATGTCTAATGTGGTTAACCCCTTTCTCACACTGGACACATTGTGCATTAACTGCATTATTTCTAGAACTGTCTTAATAGCAGCCCTCTGAGGCAGCTTGCCATGTTCTGCCTGCTGTACGGATGTCTGAACACTGCATGGCATCCAAAGCAGCACCTAAACAGTTCCTTTAGAGCGTAAAAGCTCAGACTTGACTATGCTGCACTTCAAAACACCCAGATGATTAAAGATCTCAGACCTCATATGTGTTTCTCAATCCAGTTCAGCATTCATTTTCCTCCCTTCATAATTCTAGTCCTTATAGTCTCATTTTCCTAACTAATTTTAAGTGTGCATTACAAATAATCATGTCTTCATAGCCACATTTTTTCCCATATTCTGAAAGAAACAGCAGGCTAGTTCTGACACCACAAACAGCCAACACAAGTTTTTAAGGCCTAATAAAGTTACAAATTCTAAAGTAAAGATCTGATTAAAGGCCGGGCTCAAATGCATACTTTCTTTGACATAAGATTGAAAAAATAAAATAACACATAGAACATATCAACATACCACAGCTGTTGCAAAAAAAAAAAAAAAAAAAAAAAAAAATTTCAAAAAAGGTTGTTCAGGAAATTGAAAAAAGACTTTCATTTTTCCACCTGATGTCCTAGACATTTACTTAACTCTAAATTTTGGCAAAACAAATTACTACCTGGACATGAAAACTAAACAAGAAATTGACGGGCAGAATTTATGAAGAGATTAAAGAGATAGTGAGATCAAAATGACACTCTTAACTCTAACTTAGATTATGAAGTAATTATCCTGGCTCCATGTTTCTGTTTACGGAACAATGTTTTAAGACAGAAAGCAGAATCGGGTTCGTTGAACAATGTTGCAGCCCAAGTAACCAGTTACCTGTATTGTTAAACGAATGCAACTCCTCCGTATCTTAAGTCCAAATATTACTACACATTTTAAATGCTGCCCCTCACCTCCAAAGTCATTGTTAGCACCCAGTTTTGTGTATTGTTTTATGCCAGCCCATGGAGTAATGAAATGAAAACATTTTCAATGTGCTGGCTGGGTCATTCTCCAACTTGCACAAGTATCTGATGATTATCAGGGTTGGGAAGTGGGCTGAACTTATTTCCTGTGAGCTGTGAGGTGTTCCAGCAGCTGCCTTTTCTCTTGGGATGCCTCCAGAGGAAATGAGGCTCTTAGAAATGAATTCCGTAGGATGCACTCAGCCTGGAACATCCTCCTCTATTTTTTTTTTTAGTTTGTTTCAAATTCATGTTTTTGTTGCTATATCAACACCTCTAAATTAAAACTTGAAGGAAGAGTCTGGGCCTCATTTTGTCCCAGCTGTTAGGGGGCATTGAAGGGGGAAAAAACGAAGTACAATGATTGCAGACAAATTGTGGGAATCTTGGTAGGATTCAAGACAATGAGATTAAAAGAGACTGCTCTGAAAGAGTATGGATGAGGAAAAAACAACCAACCAACCAACAGCACCCAACAACACAAGAGCTGACAAGAGCTCCAACACAGTGCCCCAAAATCTCCTTAATCAGGTGCAGAACTGCCATTTCAGTGTGTGCTCCTAAGAAACAGCTGGTATATGTTGACCTTTTGGAAAAAAGCTCATAGGGAGATACACAGAAAAGGCCAGGAATCTTCCAGCTACACAGCCAACAGCACCTGAAGAGTTTCAGAAGGAATTTGCTACGGGAGAAGGTCAATGTCAAGCACAAAACTTTTGTGAAATGGGCGTCCAAGTATGAAAACCTAACTCCAGTACACGTGTTGCTAAGGCAGTAGCTGCACTGCACAAGAGCACCTTGCTACCCTACTAACCCATTACCGGGGGATCTCATGCCTATACAGCGAGAGAAGTAATTCTCACGACAGGCCCTTCAGCCCTGACTCTCCACTGCACACCCTGAGCTGGAAGAGCATGTCCTGGAGTCGCTTCCCAGCCCCAGGAGTGCTCTGTTCTTCCCTTGCATGCAGACCACGGGCTGAGGAAGGTGCTTAACTGGACCCAGGTGAGGAGTCCCAGAGCAGCGGAGATGTGCGTGCAGATCCAGGAGCGACGAGCACTCCCAAGCCTTGCCCGAGGCTTCGGGAACTGTCATTGTCTTCTCTGACACCCGCTCTTATTCCTTGTTTTATTTGCTCCTTTCTAATTTGATACTGCAATTTCTAGAATAAAAGTATCTTTTTTTCTTTCTTTTTTTTTCTCTTCTGGCTTGATCACCTTCTGTGGGCCAGAAGAGCGATCAGGTAACGCATCTGAAGCTCTCTCCTGAAATTCCTGGCTCCCAGACCACCCAGACACATGTCAGAGCTCGTGCTGGGATCAGAGACGTTACTTCCCGGGCTGAGCGCGGTGACCAGCTCCCTGGTGAGACACACAGGGATCCTGGAGCAGCAGTGAGCAAGGACCAGGGGCACGAGAACAGGCAGGATTAGCCCATCTGCAAGCAACCAAGTTGTGACGGGCACCTGACATACACAGATCTGCCGGTCAGGCCTGCGCCGTACGGCAGTTCTGGAAACTTTTCCAAAAGAGGAATTAACTTGCTTACATTTATTGCACTGCAATTACAATCATTTATATAGCCAAGTAAATGACTCCCTAAATGGGACTGTATTAACCACTACTCCAGTATTTGATTGATTCTCTTTCAATGGAAAGCTACTGAACATAACAAAAGCACACTTGGGATTTCTTAGAAGGTATTTCCTTTCACACCGCCTCTCTCTGGCATAGCGTCTTTTAATACAATTTGTGCTTTTTCCAGGCATGTGTTTTTCACAAAGAATATAAATATTAGTTTTGGTTGTGCTCTCTTTTCTTCCTCCTTGGAGCTTGGAGTACCTGTATTTCATCTACAGATAAACTAAATTCTCTCTGAGATACCAAGGGAAGTAGAATAGAAATGTCAGATTTATTTTCACATGCTTTACAAAAAATGAAGCCCTCGATTATTTCATAAATCCTGGGCTCAGTACAGATTTCAAGATGCACCTTATACCTTTTGGAACTATCTTTATTATGTATTTTAAGATTCTTATGAAAGCTCAGCACAATAAACTCAATCTGTAAAAAAGTTTATTTTTAATAGGCATATAAATCAGTTTCCTGACCTAATCCGACTGCTGGAAGCTGCAACAACAATAAATCACAGATAATGTTGATTTTCCATCACAAGAACAAGCTAAAAAGTATACTTGTTGGCACAGCTGTTAGTACACTATTCCGGGCAGAATTCACAGGAGTTTGTACTAGCAAATGTCCTCTGCTAACACTGAAATTCAAACACAGCAACTTAAAATATTATCATTGCAAGAATGTAAAAATAAACTTCAGCAAAGAAAAAAATCTTACCTGCAAAAACTCTCTGACGTTTGAGCCCAACACACGTAAAATTGTATCATAACCAGATTCTTGACAAAACACAAAAAACATCTTCCCAAACATCTGAAGGATTTCCCCAGCATTTAGATCTAATTAAAATAGAAAAATAGATTCAGTACAAATACTGCAATTCATATATTTTGCTCACTTTAGGCTCCTTTGCATGAATAAGAAAGACAGTGCCTAAACTCTATCTAACAGGTCAAGAATATGAGGAAAACAAGATTCAGGGTCAATGCATCAAATAATGAGTACTAAACGCATGAATTTCACGGGCATTTACCAATTAACATTCTGATTATGCTGCATTTTGAAAATGGGCAGCATTTTAAATGTTAGTATAGATAAGAGAGCACTTCTTATCTATACTTATCTCTTCTCTCAAATAAAAGAACGCTGTAGCTACTAATGCAGACTTCAAGGGAGTTATTTCTGGCCTGCACTAGCGTGATAAGCCACATCAGTTGCTCCAGTTCAAAATGACTTCTCCAGCCATCTTTGGCTTATGGGTTCTTGTCTGACTACTAATTCGTATTGCATTTGGGGACTGTAAATCAAATAATGCTGGCAGGCATAATTCTGTTTTTTAAATTCCAGTCCAAGCTGCACGACTGAGAAATCGATGCTACCCCAGTTAGTGACAGCTCTGAAATGAGAAGTATCCACGTCACAACCAGCTTTGCAATGAGGCGAGCTCGTTTGCAGGCGGGCAGAGCACCACGGATGAAGCACCGATGGGCTGCCCGGCCGGGAAGGTGCATAGTTTGAGTGTTAGATTGTTGCTTGTTCTGCTTGTAACACTGTCCATGCCTCCTGGACAAAATATATTACTGTAATTTAAGCTGTACCTGATGATCTGGAATACTTTACAAGCAATGAAAATCATTTCAAGAAACAAAAGGAATAAAACTTTTTTGTCTAAACAGGAAAAAAAAAATCCTTTCTTCAGAGGACTATGTTTTACGTGTTTCGCTGTGCCACATGGATTTGTGATCATCATCTTTCAGGTAATGAGAAGTAAAACCAGCACATTTAAAAAACTGAAGAAATCGCGCCAAGAGCTGCCCACCAAGAGCAGAATTCCTGGAGGAACCTGCATACTTACTAAGGACCTTGCTAGCAGCTGCAACCAGATCATAGGTTTTGGAATCATCATAAATTATTCTGACAAGAAATTGTCCTTCTTCATCCAGCTGAGCTTCCTTCCTAAAAAAAATATATATGTATATTTGATTATAGGAGAAACATTAAATCTATAGATCATATTACTTGAAATTTGTCCTTTAAATAAAGTGTATAGATTCCACCTCTGAGAAGCTACTTACTATTGCAAATTAGCACTAGATTGGTTTCAAATTAATAATTAAAGGGCAATATGAGACCATTACCACAGAACCACAGAATGGCTGAGGTTGGCAGGGACCTCTAGGGATCCCCCAGTCCAAGCCCTGCTCCAGCAGGGACACCCAGAGCAGGGGCACAGGGTCCATCCAGGCGGGTTGGAGATCTCCAGAGCAGGAGCCTCCACAGCCTCTCTGGGCAGCCTGTGCCAGGGCTCTGGCACCCTCACACCAAGGAAGTTCTTCCTCACATGGGGGTGGAGCTGCCTGGGGTTCAAATTACTACCACTTCTGTTCTGGAAAAATAATGAATTGGGGGCAAATAAATAAGACTTTTCGGTATAGAACCTCACAGAGAAGTTGCTGAACTAATAAAGATAGAACTTGTATTTTACAATATGTGAATATCCAATAACTCATTTTTTTTAAGTAATTCTCTTCAAAAAAAAGTTTTGCCTATATTTTATTTATAGAAGGCACGAGTTGTTTTTAACAACCACTTGCTCAAATCTCCCAACAGAACCTGAAACCAAGCTGTAGATACTTAATCAAAGAGCCTAATCAAATACCCCTGTTTCAGAATTCTGCAGACTCCGGGTGGATTAAAAGCATAAAAACCACAAGGATTTTGTAGAGCACTAGCAGTCATTGAAAGCACCATAGGAACCCAGGTTTTTCCCTCCCGGGTTGAACCCGGAGCACGCGCGCACACCAGCCCCGGCCGCCCTCCTCGCGGCGCCTCGCCTTGGCTTTGGCCATGCCTTGTGCACAGGCGCCACTTCCTTCCGCAGGGTAGTTATTTTATAGCAGCTGTTCACCTTCTGTCCAAGATCTTGTCCATGATGACTCTCAACAATGTCCTTTGCAGGATCCATGAAAAGGAGGTCATATTTATACATACTCATTCTCCAATTCATGCACCTAGACTGTATTTTGGCTCAACAAAACTAGTATTATCATGGCAGCAGTAGCAGCTTTGCAGGTGAGGGTCATGGCTACCTCGTTACAAGAAAAATATTCTTTTATCTAAATACAGCTCCATGCTACAGATCACATCAGAGAGACAGAAGACCAAAAGGTAGTAAAGTCTACACGAATGCCTGAATCTCATCATCTTATGTTACCAAAAAAAAACCCAAAAAACAAAGCAAAAGAAACCAAAAATCTTTTTTTTAAAAAAAAAAAGTATCAAAAAAGTAGAAAATGAGATAGATTTTTACCAAAAAACTCAACTTAGATCATATGAATTAAGACACATATCAGGTCAGGACTGGAATCATCATCTTCCCAGTGTACAAATGTAAGAAAGCCACAGTAAAAATTGATTTAGTAGTACCACATAATGAAGGACTTTCACCAGAGTAGGACAGAAGTGCTACTTGAGAGAGTTGAAAAGTGCTGTTTAAGAGCTGGTATTTCTAAGTGCTCTAAATTCCTACTGATCATCAGAAGAATTAAAAAGCTTTAGAATGTAGATTCTAAATCTACTGTTTAAAATCCCCTGTTCCCTTTCCACCAGTACATTTGTGTAACATCATAACACGATCAATCATCAAAGAAAACACAGCTCTTTGAATGAAGTTTAGATTATAATTTTGTAGAACTGGCATGACCTGCTTTGAAATGAAATAATACAATAATGAAGTAACAATGCTATACAACAAGAAGCAATTTAAGCAATTACCTTTACACTGGAATTATCCAGTCATACAAACACAGAAACATTTCTTTCTTTACTCAAAGGAAAGAAAAACTTGAAAAATAAGCATTCTTGACTATCTTAAAATTTTAAATGACAAATGGTACTGCTGTACAGGCGTGATTCCAATCTTACATGATAAGAAATTGCTCCTCTTTTTATCCTAACACTCATGAAACCAATTTCTGTAATTCTGGCCATTTCTCAATGGAAGTCTTGAACTCATTCTTCCTCTTCGTTCTTTCCTTTCCACTTGCCAAAAAATACGTTACACTGTATTTAAAAAAACTCTGTATTTTAAATGAATTAATGAAGCCTAACTGCTATATGGCATGCACATTTGTACATCTACAGCACAAACGGACACAGTGAGCTCAAAACGAGCTATCTTTCTAAGGCAATACAAAGTCATAGAAGGTCAGAGCTAAGATACTACAGAATTCTGTATAAAAGGAACATTTTCTATTAAAAGGAAGAACATTAATAAATTTTATGTTTTTCTTAAACTCTCGGGGAGCTTCTCAGAACAGATGAAAGAACAGGCACTGGTAAGCAGGGCAAACTGTCTGCAAGAGTGTTCTCAAAGAGAGAAAAAAAGAGAGATCTGTTTGTAAACGATCAATTACAGTAATTTTAGTGATTACTTGAAGAAATAATACATTTATAAAAAAAAAGCAAGCGGAAACCACATGTGTACATAGTATCCCTTAACATATTCCTCTTTTCAGGTTCATTAATAGTACTTCTGGTCCTCCATCTGTTCTCTAAAAACTCCAAATCAGCCTGCAGGATATCAAACTGTATCTTGAAAACATATTCCCTCCTCTTCTAAGAAAGAGAAGAGCTGGATTTGCTAGTGAGAAATGTTGTCCTGGAACACATGAGGTCAGTGAGGGACACTGGCATAATCCACAAGAACTGAACTGAAATTAATACGGAAAAGAAAACCATCTTGAGTCTTTGAGTCCTAGAATGTGTAACTATGTAACTAGCTCAGATTTAGTTTAGAGGAGAACTTGGAAAGGGTGAACAAACAATACACACTATGCTTTCTCTTATTCCCCCCATCTTCTCAGCCAAACCACAAAGGATAACACGACACATCTGGAAACGCAATGAACGTCCTCAAAAACTGGCTACTTGCACTGTCCAACAGACTTTTTTCTGTGCGTGAGAACTTTCTCGATTAAAAGCTGAATCAGTTTGATCACCTTGGTATTGCCTGCAAAACTTCTTACACTTCCTCCAACTATGTCGACTGAAACTTCTCCTTTTTCCCTCTTTGTGCCAAGTCATGTTTTTTTTCTTATTTTAGTGGTCTTTAATGTACTTTGTCAAAAGTTTTCTTCAATGCCTACAGCATCTCTAAGCCAACACTTTGGAAAATCACCTTTGCTGATCTCTATGCCTGCTCCATTTAGATTATTTCAGCCATTTTATTTTTTCTCCAGTTTTCCCTAGATGCTTTTGATTACCCAGCAGCCATTTACACTTCTCTGTAGGCTTAACGATGAGTTTTCCGTTAAAATAATTGCATTCACAGAACAAAGTTGCAGAAGGAATGATGCGCTGAGCGCTGCAGCCTGCACTCCCTGGCCGTGATTCCCGGGCGCCCCTCACCTCCTGCGAGGCTCCGCTCGCGCTGAGCGCCGACGGCCCTGCCAGGGAAGGGGCCCAGGTTAATCGGGGAAGAGAGAGATTTTAGCTACTTCTAACTAGGAGACAGAGAATAGTATTTTAAAAAAATTACAATCCAAAAGAAACCAACCCCATTCTTAAAAACTTCCTTTGAGAAAATTCACCAAATAGAGATTTGCTCCTGCAGAGGACTATACTCCTCACTCAAATCCATGTGGTAAAAACATTTTGTTCATCCTACAATTACTGCAAATCTTTACAACAACGTCTGATAAAAACTTACAACAAAAGTTAAAATGTCTTTTAAAGCCAATGCTTTGAAATTAGTAGATCCCAGAACTCTTTTTTTTCTTCCCTGACCCATTTCTTCTCCATACTTCCCATCCTTGAGGGGTGCATTTGATACATCCCAATCATTTGGCTACATGCTGCGCTGAAAGACAAAATATTCAGCCAACTGGTTGTTTTCCTGGGCTGTTTTTCTCCTAGCAGGCCTGTCCCCTGTGCAGCTCGTGGGGGGCTGAGGGCGGCAGGAGCTTCAGCGAAGCCACGTGAAGGTTCTCCCTTGTCCCCAGTGAGCCAAGACTGCAGCTTCTGAAGCCTTCCCAGCACCCTCACTAACCTGACGCCAGCGCGAACTTACAAACACCTTTGTCTCTAAAAACTTGATTAGCCTGAAGACTACCTGTGAGAGAGAAATGTTGCTGCAAGCTTATCCAAAACAGCCCAAATTGTGTGAATTTTTTTAACAAACATGTTTTTCACCCAGCAAATTTACTGAACTGCAGGTCAATAATGGCTCTTCCTGCACACTTCAATACAACACAAACTGCATTAGACCTTCTACAAATGCGAGGTGCTGCAGCCGCCCTTCCCCTGTGGGTACAATGCCGCAGTCTGGAAGGGGTGCGAGCTGCCAGCGCCGAGGGGTCACGGTGATGAGAGCAGAGGACAAGGCCACCAAAGCACTCATTGCGGTGAGCAGACAACACCCAGAAGGCTTCCTCATGCTTGCAGTTTTCTCACCCAGTTACCTGACCCCTGCTGCATCAGCCTACCTGCATTTACACTAAGGAACCGCAAAAGAGATCTATGGGAGGGTTCTGAAAACTAGCATAGCCAATACCAAAAGCGAGGCTGCTTTGCAGAGAGCTACTGCGATGGACTGGCCATCGCTGGCGACTCCTCCCGGGTGATCGGCTGGTTTCACCGCACTGCCCCAGGCCCGTGGTGCAGAACAAGGCAGGGCTACACGTCGAGGATGTGAACGTGGAAGGACCAGGAGGCTGCACTGTTCTGTGAGCAGCTTCTCCCCCCTGGCTGACAGATGGTTCATGAGCTGGGAGCGGAACTGGGATATAACACAGCACCCTCGGATGCACAGGATTTACATTTGGTTGGTGACATATAGAAAACTCAGTATTTCACAGCTTAATGGAAAACTGGGAAATCTCCCTTGAAATGTTTTGCTGCAGTCTTTATCCCCAGCTTCAGGCCAGATAAAACAACCACAGCATGTTAGG